CTTTCATGTACCTGCGCTATAGCATTGGGTACCACTCATTTTTGGGAGACACGGCACTAATCAGGGCTCCTTAGACATTCACTGTCACCACCTAAATCCAGATGACTCTCTGAAACTGTGAGGCTTTTCATTTTAATTCAGACTAAAACTCCCCCCAAAAGCTTCCTTTCTTTGATAAAGGAATCCAGTCTGGGAAGAGGCAGACTATGGAGTATACTTTAAAATGTCTTAACAGTCATCCGTATCAGGCAGAAACAGGCAATAAAGTATTCTTTATACTTGTAGTCTCTGATTGTCTAAGTCAGACTTGCCATCTATCCCTGTCTGTGTATTCTCATCAAAAATCAAAGCAATGCTGTCCATGTTTCAATAAAGTGGAATGGAGCTAGATTTCTTGCTTACCTTTTACAGCAGCATGACAGCTGAGCCTTCCAGGGTTTTGCTATGAGGTCATCAGGACCATGTTTTCTGATTGTTCAGACCACTTGGGGAACATTGTTAACAATTTTTTTCTGAGAGATCAGTACAAGAAATAATGAGAAATCGTGCCTTCCAAAGGTGATCTCCACCATCAAGAAATCTGTTCATTTATCAAGAGGGCCCATACACTTCTACCAATTAATAGAGGAGTGCTAATGCTACCATAAGATGATTGACTCCTGGCAGGAACACAGCCAATATCTAATGACCCTTTTAGTCTGCTGCCAAGGCAGAGTGCAACAGTCAGTGCTACACACCTGGGTGTAATAATTGCATCATGAGAGCGACAACACTTTCTGCTTTCATGAACTGACTTCAAGCCTGAAAGGGATGTTAGTAGAATCAATAACACAGATAACTTAGAGCTAATTTGTTGTAGTAATAATAATAATCTGGGCAACCCAATAATGCAAAAATCTGATACTACAGATTAATTATCTCTAATAATTGATGAATAATGTTCTGCAGAAAACTCAATTATGGACCTCCTAGACTATGAGCACTCAGCATTTCAGTGCATTTGGACTTTATGTCTGAATAGCTCCTAAAGGTCTGCAGCATCTCTTAAGTAATCTTGATTTACTTGTCTTTTGATTTCCAATTACTATTCTTCCTCAGAGATGGTAGCAGAGTCACAGTGGTATAGTTTAGAGCCTTGTCTTGCAGATAACTAGCACCACTGCAGTGCTTTGATCTACAGCTCTTCAAGAAGGACAGGAACAGAGAACAAAGTTGGAGGGGAGAATTGCACTCTATGTTCAGACGAATGGCACCCTGCTTTAGATGAGGCAATGAGCTAGACAAGAGTGTACAGGGAAGATCAGAGGGGAGACCAACAGGGACATCTACGACAGAACACTTGGTAGAGATAAGACAGCAGACAAGCTTTCTTTGTAAACAGTCACTGGTTCTCACAAAACACTTTCACCAACCCTGATGTATGCTGGAAAGTCAACTCACAACACTGCAAACAATTCACAAGGTTTCTGGAGTGCTTTGGGGTCAATTTTTTTGATGCAGATGCTAGTCTGGCCAGATAAGCAAAATGCTTTCCTGAATCTGCATCTCATAAATAAAGTCAGGGCTATGAGAGCATGTGGCTGCATTGGCTGCAGCAACCTTGAGATGGTGGTTAAAGATTCTAAGAAAAGTGAAAAAGGCAAATAGCAGAATATAGGCATTAGATTTCAAGAGAGGAGATTTCAGTCTGCTCAGGAACCACCTTTCACTTCTCATGGCTACCCTTCCTCCCCCCTTAGGATCTTTCCTCATGGCTGCCCTTCCTCTCCCTTCAGGATCTCCCTTCATGGATGCCCCTTCTCTCCCCTCAGGACTGCTGCTCTCTCCTCATGGCCACTGCTCAATTGTAAAGATACAGACTGGATGAATGGGCTACAAAGTGGTTAAAAAGCCCAAGTGGAACATTAGACTTCAAAAGGAAGTAAGCAAAAGTCCAAAGCCCAGCTATCAGCCAGTAACAGTGATGCAGGTGAGGTCAGGACAGGGCCCAATGTCATTAAGCATTTCCATGAACAATGGATTAAATACATTGAAATCAAACGTTGTTCAGACTCCAAACTGGGGTAAAGGCAGAGCTGCTCAGTGGGACTTTGACAGGCTGAATAAACAGGCTGGCAAAAACCACGTGAAGTCCAAACAGAGCACCACCATGCAATGGCACCAGCCATGAGCTGAGTAGCTAGAGAGTACCTTTGCAGAAGAGGACAGGAGGTCCTAATGAAACAGGAGCAAAGACAGTGGTATAGCCTTGCAACAGATGCAAGCTAACTGCACTGGCAATTGTGTAGCCAACAGATCATTCACAGTGATTATTAGCTCTCTACATGGCATCATGACACCCCACCTGTAGTACTGTGTCCAGTTGTGGAACCACTAGTGAAAGAGATCTTAAACTAGAGAGAAACCAGAAAGGAGGATGACTAAAATGGTTAAGGCAGCTGAAGGAAGCCGATGGTGGGAGTTCTGGGTTGTTCAACCGGAAGTGAAAATTAGGGGTATCTAATACCTAATGGCTGTCTTCTACTACCAAACAAGAGTGTTACTGAGAAGATGAAGCCCTAGGTGCACTGCAGAAGTACAAAAGATAGATGCCCAGACACACCAAGAGAAATTCCAGTTGGATGGGGAAAGGACAGGGAATTAACAGAAATTAACATGCTGCTCGGTTAAGTTGTAGAATCTCCTTTCTTGGAGATTTTCATATACCAACTGCAGAACCTGAGTAACCTGTTCAAATTTTGCATCTGGCCCATGCTTGAGCAGGATGTAGGACTAGATAACATTCAGAGGTGCCTCCAACCTGAATGATTCTGAAATGTCACAGTAGCCAATACAGTCTGTATATCGTTTGGTTAGTTGGCATAACTATGTGAAAGGGGAAATTGATATTTTATTCTTGTTTGCTGCTGAGTTCTTATACGCTCTGGGATTTTATAATGCATCTACCGAGTGACTTGAAATTTTTTTTTTAATAAATTAATAAAATTAATCTAAAATTTTCTTCAGTGTGAGAGAATTCAAACACAACAGAACACACGAAATGTTATTTTTACTGTGAAAGAACTTTGGTACTGGACTTTCCACTGTGACTGAAGTTAAATCACCCAACATTTAGCTCAGTTCCCTCTTTGCTTTACACCTGCATGACAATATATCCCTGGAGTCACAGAGCTATTATAAGAAAGAGCATATCAGTTTCTGAAGTATACGTATGGAGCAACGACATCTTGAAAAACCTCTATCTATCTTTCTCACTGAACTTATTTGAGATCATCTCATGATTACCAGTGTAGTATTAATGGCTATGAGGCAGCAAAAATCCTGTACCTTTCAGGTCTCCAGCATTCAAAGGACATTAGCTGAATCTGGGTCTTGTAAACTTATTCAGGTTTCAGGTTCTTCTGTTGTTTGGTAAATGTAGAATTTCTTCAGAAGATTGTGTTATCTGTGCTGACACACTCAACGATCTTTAATACCAACCACGATCAAGGAGAACACATGTGGCAGCTAGTATTCTTTGCTTACATAACACCTGCTAGTGCTTGTATAACAGCTAACCTAAGTTGTTCATCATTCAATTGCCATTTGTGCCATGGGTATTTATTTGAGTATTGTTTTGGCAGTTGCATTTCTTAGGCTGGGCCTCCATTACTGCTTCTAAATGAAAACAATGTTTGCACAGTAGATCTGTACTGTCATTTGAATGCTTTTTTTAAATATTCAGCAGTTACAGCTCTTTCTTATAGCTGTTACAAGAAGCAAAGCCCAAATTGCTGGGTTTAATAATGCAAATGAAATCACATCATTGAAAGCCACAACATCAAGATTCATCAAGACAAAGCCAAAAACTCAATATGACCATGTAGAAACCGTCAAATCTTCTCAGTGTAGAAACCATAAAATCTTCTCAGATCTTCTACCCACAAATTTAACTGACCTTTTTTCACTCCTCCTTTCACAAACTATGGGTACAAATGCTCTGTGTATTAGCAATACAATGCACTGAATGACAACTGGATTTTCCACTTGAAATTTTAGAACAAAAAGTGATTATTGAAATTATGACTGACTTTAGAAGTCAGTAATACTCAACAATAATGTGAAACTTGTTCTCAAAGAGCAGAAATATGCTCCATAGACAAATGTCACATACAACCTCACCCTCCGTTGGCTATGGCTAATAACCTGCCCATCATACCAGAGGATGAAAGGTGGCTGTACAATGGAGCAGCCAGTCACTAGAGCTTTCTCAGGAAGTTTCACACAGCAGTGCTTGACAGACTTGTGAGAAAGAGGGCAAATGTTTACTGTTACACTACAGTAAATATTAACAAGTTCTTGGGCCTAAAGGACCCAATCTCGCATCCATTCAACAAACACATCTCCTGTTGACTTCAACAGGAGCTCAGCAGGGGGACAGCCTGTAGCCCAAATAGGAGAGCTAATCAGCAGAACGCCTATTTAAAAGTGATCATATTTAAATATTTTGCTGTAGTCTTCCTCTTTAGCCCTCATCACTAGGGAGTTCACAGGATATTTCTGCTGTTTCTCACTAATTACAGCGCCAATCCATTTATCCATGAAACATTTGTAAACAGAGATGCCCTTTGGGATGAAAGGATTAGAATTCCAATTGCAGTGGCTTTGATGGTTGCAAGTGAGTTAGGAGGAAGAAAGCAGGGAGAGAAAATCTTGAAATGGCAGAAATCCATGTTTTCTTTATTCACTTAAACTGAATTATTTCTATTACACAGCATGGAAAAAAAATTTTGTATGCTCAAATCTGATAATAAATAAAAAATTCCTGGAGGAACTGTGAATAGAAACTAAACCAGTGAAGACTGACAAGGCCCAGAGTCCTCATGTTACTAGAGCAATTGCATGCAGCAGAGGTGGTTACATTAGTACCCAGACATTAGCACATGAGACAGGTTTTCTTCTCAAGTCTGCAAGGGATTTGAAGGTATCTCACACTCAATTACAAACAGAATCAGAAAATATGCAGTGTACAAAGAATAATTTTATTAATCTTTCCAAAAGAAAGTTCTCTGATAGACTTCTAAGGACATTAATCTGAGCACTGAGAACAGGAACACACAGTATTGATTGGCTAGGAGAAAAGCATGTTGTTTTCTCACACTACAAAACCAAATTATCATCCAAGCCTGCCCATGCTTCAGCTGCACTGTGTCAGGCTGGTTTATTTTCCTACCTCCAGACACCACCAGCTGGCAGTGCAAAACTTCTTTGGATGGCCACTGTCCTTTTTCCACTGTTGTTCCCTGAGGTCCAGATAACTGTCTATTTTTGGAGAAGCAGACCTCCAAGAATTTAAGGTCTTTACAAAGGGCACTTTGTGATATGCTGTACTTTCCTTATCCAAGACCTTTGTTCAAGCAAAAAGACATTTAAATCTCTGTGTGTGCAGCTGTCTGTTGAAGAATCCCCGAATCTAAATAAAAAATGGAGGGGGAAAAAAGCATAATCATTAAATCAAATGGTAACTAATACATTCTGTCCCTTTGTTATGACAGTATATTTCCCAGGTGGTGGGTTTTTTTCAGCTAATATGCTTTAAAGGCTATTCAAATGAAGGATTCACACAATAGTGAGAAGAGGGAAAGATCACATTTAACACCACAATTTTTAAATATAAAGATTTATCATAGTCTCAAGTTTTAAATGATCACTTGATCTTATAGAGACACCATGCAAAGCTGCAATTGAAAGCTAATGAAAATATTCATTACATAACCATAACAATAAAGGTAAGACTTGCAAAAGTTATTAGTAGCATCAGCTTAGCACATAGAAGTCAAGAAAATGTCAAAGATAGCTTCATCTGCAGAAGAAATGTATCAGCAAATTGAATTTAGGAATTTGTTAGGGATGCACTAAGAATCTGATGTTTTGTTTTACCTAATTCTAAAAATGTCATTCATGCAGGTGTTACCAGCTACTAGGGTGGAAATTACTGGAAAGAGAACAAGCTGGAGAACAGCTGAAGCTGTCACCTCCCTCTCTTTTAGACCATGAGTTTGAAAGGTCTGGTTGTCATCCTGCTTTTCCTCATCGCCTTATACAGGGTTATGTTCAAACTGGGGAAATCAGAAAGCACCTCTAAATTAAACAGTGTCTGAAATCTGCCAACAAATTGGTTCTCTTTTTCTAGCCGAAATCTCATAGCCCACAGAATAACAGTGTCATTCTTGCACAAGTGATCAAAAGTTAGGAGGAGCTCATCCAGGAAGGGATGGTGGTAAACTACATCAGCAGCCATAATGTAGTCAAAGTGACAGGAAGACCTAGGAAAATTCTTTTCCAGATCAACTCCCCAAGACAATTCCTTAACATGAGGCTGGTGCTTGCATTTCATCTTTGTATTTCGGAGAACATTGTGCTGGAGGTTTCCAAGCAGTTCTGGCAAATCAGTGGCAGTCACAAGCGCACCTGTGACAGAGAGAAAACAAACAAATTTTGAGTACACTTCAAGACTTGAGTAAAAGATATGGTATAAATGAAAGCTACATGGACAAGTAACTGCCTTTAGCACATAGCTCTCCCAGGGGAACAGAACAATGCAAATAATCCAAATAACTCTTAGCCATTGTGCTTAAAATAAAGATTTGGTTCCCAGTAGTTCTACTTTACAGATTGCCAGCTGAATGCAATTGGGGATGAGTGGGGAGAAATCAGATACTAGATCTTGATATCATATTGGTTAAAAGTACAGTGAGTAACTAGGGATTGAAAAATGCCAGTTACCCACTCCAAGAAGTCAGCATGAGATTTAAGCACTGCCTTGGGTTCTTTCTTTTTCACATACAAATCAGCTTTCCCAGACTACAGAAAGCTAAAAGTCTGTTAAAATGCAGAAGTCACTGAACTGGATCACCCTTGAGGGAAAATAGGCTACCATGAGAGAAAATAGGCTACCATGAGAGAAAACACAGCAGTGTTTGTAGCAGAAAAATTAAGTTGCTGATCAGCTGCTGAAAGAAAATGCTCAACACGAATGGAACGAAAATGACCTGGCAACCAAAGAACTGTTTGGGCAATGGAAGGTGGTGCATTGCTCAAGCCTACATCTGGCTTCATCTGGTTGCCACTCACATCCTGAGAGGCCACAGGTTCTTATTTTGGTGCCTTGTTTAACACTGTTAATGACATCATCATCTACTGGGACCCCCTTTATCGCATCAATAGAGTCACTCACAGCTTTACAGACTGGTTTCCAAACAAGCCTTTTGGAACTTACTTTTTCTTGTTCTTGAAAGCTTTCAAACAAGTCTCTTAGAAGAAATGACCCACTTCCTTTGCCATCCAGTATTCACCTGAGAGATGTTTCCAAGAGCATAAGAGCGATGGCATGTACTCACCCAGTAAACTGGCTACTATGGAGACCAACCCAGTTCCAGCTCCAATTTCAATCACATTTTTGTCAACCAAATTGCATTGTTTAGAATTAGTTTCCAAAAAATAACATAGAACAAGAGCCTGTAGGGGAGGGAATCCATGAACACACTGAACAAATTAATGAAATAAATTCCTTCACTAAATATGCATTGTCATTTAAAAGCATACAAAAAAATTCTTGTCTGTTCAAATGAGCAATAATAATTCAAGCACTGCCGAGCTCTTTAGGCTCACAAAATAAGTGCCACAACACATCTCAGTATAGGCTTACAAAGCATTACAGCCAGGAGGAACAATTGCAGTTAAATAGTCTGTCATGCTGCATAACATGAGCTATAGAATTCCAGTCACCAGATCCTGCTTATAACTGCACTTTTGGTCAAGCTAAGACATATGCTTCCCAAAGACATCTTGATATAAGGACCGTTTGTGAGAGAAAATCCACAACCCTTGTTAAACTCTTCCAACAGTTAATTATTTCCAACAATAATTAAATACCTAATGAGTCAAAAAGGACCAATAGATTTACCCCTTTTCTTCCAGTTCAGTTTGTTTTCAGTTTCTATGTGCTTTCCTTGTTAAGCTTAGCAAACTGTCAGAGCAAAGCCAAAGAACAGACTCCTCATATATGCATTTATAAACTGTCATTAAGAAGCTTCTTCACCTTTTCTGCCCTGTCTCATACTGACCAGTGAGTTTTAGTTCACTGCTGAAATAGAAGTTTCTAACTTTATTGCTCTTGCAAAGATAGATTCCAGCTTGTCTCCCACAGTTTTTCACAGACTTTGATAATTATACAGTCTCTATTGACAAATACATATGATGGTTGCCAGAACTTCTTGCAATACAGATGATCATTTGGAAAGCCAATTACTAGTGGCTTGGTCTGGCACAATAAAATGACACACTTAGTTTTGTTTTTAACCAATTAAGATGTAGAAGGAAAGGAACAGGAGTACTATTGACCTAATGTTAACATGCTAGAAATGCAAACAAGTTTTTTGCTTTCTACCTCTTAATTCAGAGCAAAAAAGAGTAGGGTTTTTTATGTGAACTTCCATATGTCTCACATTCAACAAAGCTTTGATATAGAAATATGTCTGTGAGAACCAGGACTAATTAAAGCCAGCTACCTAAAGATTGTGTCTGATGTTTGGCTGACATTTAAAACCATATTATATTAAGATTTCCTGTTAGCTCCATATATTCCTATAATTTCTTCTCTTGGAGTTTTGCCATATTCTGTTGTAGAAACTGCGGGCAGAGGATCAGTATTTCTGAGGGTTAAATTATGGAAACTTTGAAATTTGCCCTCGTTCCCATGAAACATGCAGAAACTTTATTTTCCTTAAAGTTTCTGTTCTCTCAATTTGACTGACATTTTCTGGAAGGGTTCAAATACTGCTGGATGGGACTAGAAGGCAGAACATGAAAAGACACAGAAAGAATGGTTGCCTTCCTTCCACAGCTAAACTGGCTGAACCTTTATAGGAAAGACTTGCACTGGGGCTGCTAAAAGATATAGTATAAATGACTAGTCCAGGTCTGCTAAGACAAAGAAAATTTTTTGGAGTTCAAAACAGCAGAGAATGCTAAATGTCCTCAGTTGTACTATGGCCATATTTCTTAAAGATCCTAGAAGGCTGATACCACTGGGACAGAAATGGAGCCCCCTGGGTTTTAGTTCTCTCCTTCCTATGGGGCGTACTGAAGACGATTCTGTTTCAGGAATGTTCTCTGGATGCCACAAGTGTCAATAGTGCATCCTGGCACCTCCCTGAACACAGCAGCTTCTTTCATTCTTCATTATTTTGAAACAGGCGGTTGTATTATACAGATCAAAACTCTGAAGAGGACTCTATGGTTGGCATGTTGATGGTTCTTATATCAATAGCTAAGGACAATGGTTCTCTCCCACTAGGTTTCTGGCTGTTTAAGAAACTGAAAGCTCCAACTGAACCTTTTCCCATGTCTACATATTTACAAGGTAAGTTTTTTTTCCCATATCAGTATGTTGAGTAGCTTCTACGAGTCCTAATACCTTATGAACTCATATCACAGCTGTTTCCCCAACCTGGTTCTGCCTGCTGTACAGCTATTTACAGAATGTATAGAAATGTGATCATCATAAGACTGCCCTTTTTCCTTCAAAATGTGCTTCTAATTTGGATGAAATAGGATCAAAAGTTCCTGGTAGGTGAGAAGGGGACACAAGATCATACAGCTTGTATGAGAGAAGCACAAACAAGAAATACCATTTAAGCTCTGAAAACCAGGAATCCATAGGAAACCAAGCTAAATTCAGGTTTGGGATTTGCAGAATGGAGACAGAGAAGCACAGAAGGTATTCCTTAGGTTCACAACATACAACAAAACATATTTATCAGGCAAAAGAAATTAAAAATGCTAGAAGACTCCAAAATTATGAAATAACAATACCGCATAAATATTGTACCGATGGCCAGACGACTGCCCCATAACAATCAATGGCTTCTGTAATTCTTATCTCATGGCCAGCAAAGTGAAAGCCTTCCCAGGTCTTATGAGTTATAACAGCAGGAAAAAAACGCCTTCTCATGATTTCTGCAACTATCTGTTCATCTTCTTTTTCCCCTGGAAGTAAAAGCATGAAAGGTCAAGCAGGCTGAGTGGACTCATAATGAAACTACCAATTTATAATGAAAACCTGATTTAGAAGCAAGAATGCGAATTACATCTGTGAATGAAAATACATTCATTAATGGTGAGTATCAAACATGGGAAATCTGAATTCTAATTTATGTTTTCAGTTTATGACTAAATACTTTCTTTCCTGTTTTGCTGAAGAAACCAAGTTCATTAAAAAGTAGAGAAATGAAATGTTACCATATATTGCTTTCCATTTCAGCAATCCAAAGGAAATTTAACTTCTTTTTCCCTTCAAGAACAGCTGCCCTAGTACAGACACTCATGGTCTTATGTGCACAGATTTTTTATTATTTTACATATTCTTTTACTGCTCACTTTCTCCACATTGTGTTTCTTTCTGACAGTAAACAAAAGAAGCCACAGCATCATTTAGAAGTCTATCACAAGACTTGTGAAACAGATCCTAGCAACACAAGTTATGACAGCAGCAAAAGAACTAGTGTTGTCAGGAAAGCTTATCCACCCACCCTAACAGAGCCCTGTCAGAGGTATTCTTTCCAGTTGGCTTGATATCCCAAATGCCATCCCTGTTGCTAAGCAAAGGATATTTATGAGAGCTAACATAACCCTGGATAACACAAAGCTGCAACACAATGTTAAAAAGTAAATTGAAAACAAAAAGTGAAGCTGTCTAGAGTATTTTCTTAAGCAAAGTCTAAAATTATTCCAACTTTTCACAGGAAATTTGCTTTCACCTCTGCAAATCAGCTAGAGCAAAACATGTTTACCAGCTACACCTCCTAGAAAGCATGCTAGAGATATAAGTAACTGGGTTACCACCTCATCCAAAGCCAAATTTCTGTACTAAACTTGTAAATTCCCATCAAAATCACAGATTGGGATCTGCAAAGAAACTGCAGGTCCAATGTCTATTAAAAATCAAAATATTTATGTTCTCATCAATATAAACCACATTGGCCTACTGAAGATTCTTCACATATTCTTTCCCCTCAAACCACTGCAGTCACAAGACATGATGGCCTCAAGCGTTGTTATTTGCTCTGCCATATGCCTCAATACTTTAATAGCCATAACCTATTCACAAAGTTTCTCTCTCTTCTTTGTTGTAGAAGGAGAAAGAAACAAAGCACAGACCACAACAGTATAATTTTATAAAGATAACAACTAAATTAGTCAACACTGAAACTATGATATTAAGATGTTAGGAAATAAGTAGCATGTGGCAGCCCATCACATATTCAGCAAGCCTCTAGTGTTGAGAGAAAACACATGCATCATTGTGCCTGCAATCAGGGAACTCTGCACAAACATGAGTTAAGTGCCAGATAAATGCTGCTCCAGGGCAAAATTAATCTTTTCAGATGGAAGAACTAATATGAAGCTATCTTATTACACATATTTTACGTGTATTTAATATATCATCCTGTTTCCAGGCATACCAGATATAGCCTGCTTTCAATCTTCTCTGATTGCTTAGAGCAGTCTGATCTTGTTCTATGATCAGCACTAGCTGTGGAAATAAAAAGCTGTTTCTTCTATTACCTCCCAATTACAACCATTTTTCTTGATTCTTCCTCCCTTGATATCTGTTTTGAATCCAATTTTGTTGAGAAACCATAACTTACAATGTCTTAACTTACAAAGCTTCTGCCAGCAGATCTATAAAACTTCAGCAGTATTACAGCTACCCCTCTAGTGTTCAATAAACATTTCCCACCTATTCCTTACCTTATCAGCAATCTTTCTACTTCACGGCTTGATTAGCACTCAAGCTAAACAAGTTTGGAGGCCACTGCTCCCTACCTGAGCTAAACTGTCCACACCCATGAACTAAGAATCCCAAATCTGCTGATTAGTAATACCATTTAAATCTTTGCCCATCTTATCCTTTTGGGAATCCACCAGGTGGGTTATCTGGAGAAGTTTACATTGATTTTTATATTTTTATCTTCCGCTTAACAACATCTTATTATTGTAGAGAATATGTCTGTGATGCATCAGTGACATTATATGACAATAGGCTTCAAAACCCTAATGAGAAATTGTATCATGATCATGATGCTGATGCTTCTGACAAAAAGTGCTGACAACATAAGGAGTGCAGACTTCTACTGAGATTTTCTTACTTACACACAAGTTTCTCTTCATATTGCAAAAGGCACTCCTCTATTTTCTGCTTTCTATCTTTCAGAATAACTGAACTACTTGTGAGACTGCACAAGAGGAAAGTTTTTTTCTGTAACTGCCTTCAAAGCAGTTAGAGCAGAAAAATAACAAGCTAGTGGAACAAGAAAATTATTAGCAAGGAACAAGAAAATTATTAGCAGAGTAAGCAAAATCCAAGCGACATTAAGTCTTTTAGTACCTGCAAACATTGAGAAAGTTCTGCTGGTGCTTTGTTCTAACTAGTTTCTTGGTAACAGATGTAAAAATCTGATAGGAAGCTATTCTCCCAGAAGTAGCATTTATCTGTTAGTCCATATTCTCTTGTTCAGCAAGAAAAAGTCTTAGAATTATGACTCAGTGAATGGATTTTAATGGCATTTTAAGACAAGAAGAGCTCACTTATCAGTAGAATACGGTCAACAAGAAAGAGGAGGCTTGACTGACCTCACTCTCAATTCTTGTAAGAAAGGAAGCACATGATGGGCATTTTCAGCAGTACTACTTGAACACCCATACTAAAATGTCAGACTTAAAGGTCTGCTAGGTCTGGTTCCTCCCTTTTTCATTTGCCTGGGTTTGACCAAGTAGGTCACATATGAAGAGGTCTGGATTTAGAATTATTTTCTTCAGCCTATCCATCTCTTTGCATGAGCATGTGTACCTGCTAACCACTGGAGCTTCAGGTGCTAGAACCTTATTTACATCAAGATGAGACGAGTCTGATCCTGTTCAGATAACATACACAATTTGAAATTATTTTTGTTAGTGAAATAGAGTGCTCCTTTGGTCTTGAATTCATATTCACAAAGAAGTTCCTATCTAGGATGCCCCAAATTCTTCTTGAAATAGAATGTGAATGTCTAAATTTCTGAAGAATTTCTGCCTAACAGGTTAATCTCTTACAGCATTTTTAAAAATAAAGTTTGGAGCATATTCATTGAACTCCCTTGATTTTAAGTTAATATCATGTCTGAGGGAGAAAAGTCATATACTGCGCACACATCTTGCACTATATCAACCACATCATTAAGAAAAAAGTGTAATCATTCTCAAAGGCAAGCAATAGTCGTTATTACAACTGAAACACGAACACAGGTTTTCAAAGAGACATACTAAATCATGTGGAAGACTGGATTTACAAAGTCAGTGGCAGGTTAGTTAGAGCAGCTTGCGTCAAGCTGCAAAACATCCTGTAGGGAAACAGAAGATTTTGCTGACACATTCAAATGTCAAATGAAGTGTTTTATATTAGAAAAAAAAAAACAAAGAAAAAAAAAAAAGATGTGAATTCTGCTGAGACAGAGTTGGAGAAATCCTTCAAGTGGAGAAGGTAGAAAGAAAATAGCAGGAGATAGACCAGGCCAGAATAGAACAAGCTGCAAAACGCAGCATCTTTTTCTTTAACAAAGCAAATAACAGGAACGGGCCTTAGGTTATCTTTATCTGCACACTTTTTGCTTAGAATGGTGAGAAATAGTTCCTGTTTGTTACATGATCAACTGTTCCCTTTACACATAAAATTATGCTTGGGAGCGTACAGCTCCATCAGGAAACAGTAAACTTAACATTCGTTGTGTATCTTCCATCAATTAATAGCATATGTTAATTCTCCCACTGCATAACTAATGATACTGCCTACATTAATGCATTCTCCACTGAATAAAAAGGGAACAGAAACAGGCACTGTTAAGCATCATTTTAAATGCAGGAAAAGCAGCAAAGATAAGGGGGCTGAATTAAAATTACATTAAAAAAATAGATAAGATTGTCTAAATACCTGAATTAAAATGTGGTTAAAAATTGAAGCAAAATGACCTTTCCATGTGAAAGCTGTGAAGAATATACTAGCAGTCAATATCTCCATTTTCAGACTCAATCACAAATAGCACACAGTAACAAAACATCCTCTAAGTACTTTGCTAATGGATTAAACAGCATTAACACAGAAACAATAGTTTCAACCAATAATTCATCAAAACAACCTACATGCGAAAAAATACAGATTAGTCTCTTTCAGATCCTGGCCTGACTCTACTTAATCCCTCAAGGTCAAATCATGTCCCAGCCCTACGTAATACGGAAACAAGACCCAGCTGTCTTCTGCTTCTCACCTGCTTCAATGGATCTTCTCCAGCTGGCAAAAGGAATGAAATCCAAGCCTTCAGCATGAGCTTGACCTGACAAAGTTCAGCCAAAAGACAGCAACATTCTCCCTTCTTCAGAAACAGTATACTCTCACCTGCACAGTTTAGATTTTAAATTTATCATTTAGACTTACACTCACAAGTATTTTAAGAACTGCGTATCAACAGGTGTGAAGACATACATGATTTCTCTAAGACTTCTCAGTAATTGCTTGAGTTTAATGAATACAGTAGGACTACCTGTGCTGACATTACCAATTGAGTAATGCATGAGAGAAAGTTCCAAGAATCATGATAGCTAGGACTCTTCAGATCTCCCCACTTAGGACACATGGAACTGGAATCATCCAAGATTTAAGATGTATTATTTTTTATATATATACACACACATAAAAATATATATAATATGTACTATATATATTCTATATATTTTTATATAGATCTATGCAATAGTTATCTTTATATCCCAGCATCAAGAAGATGCCTGCAGAAAGGTTATCAAGGGAATAGATCTGCAATCAGTTCTGTAACCATAAGAGATGACTGGAGAAGAGTTACATTACTACACTGATAGGACTGTTCAGCAGGTAGCCCTGTGAATCCATCTGGGTATTTCCACTGGTTCAGAAGTTTGCCCCAAATCTACATTAGGTCCTGTTCTAAGGGACTGTGGAGACTCCTAATTTGTTCTGAGCTACTGACATCTCAGGAGCCATTACAGATAGCTCCATGGAAACATACACAATCCTAAATCAAAGAATAGTCCCCAGAATCAGGTGGTATCACTTTAGTGTCTTTATTTCATTCCACTTATTTCTATTTCATTACATTCCATTACAGCTTAAGCACTCTTAAAGAAAGGAGTTAGGAAGGAAATCTAATCATACCCTTGACTTTCCAGAAGTCAGATGTAACCTACACCATTCTGAGAATATAAAGCAAAGTAATGGAACAGTATTTATCTAAGCTACACAGTTAATTGTAGGTAGGGGTGAAGTAAGGAAAAAAGAAGGAAATGATCACATAACCGAGTGTAGGCATTCTAGTACATCCATTACAAGCTCAAACTGCTGAAGTGATTGCAATGACAAGGTATATTACATTGACTGATCTAAGATACTACGTCAGAGTATATAACACCTGAAACTTTATACTTTGAAATGCAGAAATACAAAACTGCCATGAACAGGCAGCCCCTTCTCAGCCACGAGACAAGACGCACTTAGCTCAGAGCACAGGGAGACAGGAACAGGAGAGGGATATGCTCACAATAGCCAGTCTATGCATTTACTCAGGCTCGAGAGGCATATTTTCAATTTGAAATTCACACCACTGATATCCCAACCCCATCCAAGTCACAGGTCATTCAAAACCACTAGAAGGCTGAAAATAGAAGTACCATAGTCAGATTATGTCATGAACACATAATGAAGTTGGATGTGCCAAGCACTTTGCTTGTTACTTCATCATGTTTGTCTGTCACTGAAAACATCTTCAGGTCTTGGCTGAGCAGCTATTTAATCTCTAAAGATAACAACTGAATGATTTCCCTTTGACTACAAAAGCAGACTGTGTTCTTAAATTAGATGGTCTAATGTACATTATAAAAGGCCGACAGCCAATTTCCTGATGGATAGGAAGGCCCTGGGTGAGTAATTCAGACACTGTAAGCCATTGTCTAATCTTTCACATCTCTTACCTTGTCCTGTCAAGAGAGCTTCGTGCCATTGAAAGCTCTTACTTCCTCATATCAACATGCCAGAACGTGCTAGATACCATAGCCAGCAGAACAGAAGAGACTCAACAAAATGCCTGCCAGTGTTCCCCTGCTACTACTACTACTACTACTACTACTATCTAAAATATTTCTTTGAGGAAAGGGCCTGAAAGTAACCTTGAAACACTGATCATGCCGCCTTTCTTGTGTGGCAGTTGAGAAGCCCTTGATTTATTGTTGAAATGCAGCTACTGCAAAGAGAAACATGAAAACAGGGAAGACAAGCACATGGCTGAGAGGGAAGAATGTTACAGACTTCTCTACAGAGTTAACATGTTTTGATTATTTGAGTGGTGTCTCTAACTTGTGTTTTATCTATACACAAGAATTTTCCATTTGAGTTTAGTAATGTCTTCAGCAAAAGCAGGTCTACTTGTTGAGCAGAAAGAAAAGGAACTGAGACATGTTAATTCAAATTAGTACACCTGATGGTTACTGTAGTACTTGAATGCTGCCACTTTCAAACAAAAGAGCTGAAAAGTAAGTTACTATGACATAGCCAAGAGGCAAATTCAGAGAAGAGATATTTTAGACTATTCTGATTTGCTGTGAAGGTGCAGTTTAGCTCTAGTTACTCCTTAATTGGATTATACTCAAGTCTCATACCACACTATCTCTTTTAGTCTTTTTTGGCTTGTTTTGTTTGGAGACAATTTGTTGCCCAGAAGGAATAGCATTTGAGTTCTGATATTCACCTGGGGAATTACAGACCAGTCAGTCTCATCTCTGTGCCTGGCAAAATCTTGGAGTAGATTCTCCTGGAAGGCATGCTAAGGCACATGAAAATCAACAAGGTGCTTGGTGACAGCCAGCATGGCTTCACTAAGGGGAAATCCTGCCTGACCAATTTGGTGGCCTTCTCTGATGGGGCTACGGAACTGATGGACAGGGGTAGAGCAGTTGATGTCATCTACCTGGACTTGTGCAAAGCGTTCAACACTATCCCACACAACATCCTTGTCTCTAAATTGGAGAGACATCAATTTGATGGATGGACCACCCAGTGGATAAAGAACTGGCTGGATGGCCACACACAAAGAGCTTTGGTCAATGGCTCAATGTCCGGCTGGAGACCAGTAACGAGTGGCAGCCCTCAGGGATTGGTGCTGGGACCCGTCTTGTTCAACATCTTTGTCGCTGACAGGGACAGTGGGATTGAGTGTACCCTCAGCAAGTTTGCCGATGACACCAAGCTGTGTGGTTCAGTTGATACGCTGGAGGGAAGGAATGCCATCCAGAGGGACCTCGGCACACTTGTGAGATGGGCTGATGCCAACCTCATGAAGTTTAACCATGACAAGTGCAAGGTCCTACACCTGGGTCGGAGCAATCCCCAGCACAGCTACAGGTTGGGAAGAGAAGAGATTCAGAGCAGCCCTGCAGAGAAGGACTTGGGGGTGTTGGTTGACGAGAAAATGACATGAGCCGGCTTCAGTGTGCGCTCGCAGCCCAGAAAGCCAACCGTATCCTGGGCTGCATGAAAAGGAGCGTGACCAGCAGGTCAAAGGAGGTGATCCTGCCCCTCTACTCTGCTCTTGTGAGACCTCACTTGGAGTATTGTGTACAGTTCTGGTGTCCTCAACATAAAAAGGACATGGAAATGTTGGAACAAGTCCATAGAAGGGCCACGAGGATGATCAGGGGACTGGAGCACCTCCCATATGAAGACAGGCTGAGGAAGTTGGGGCTGTTCATCCTGGAGAAGAGAAGGCTGTGTGGAGACCTCAGAGCAGCCATCCAGTATCTGAAGGGGGCCTATAGGGATGCTGGAGAGGGACTCTTCATTAGAGACTGTAGTGACAGGACAAGGGGTAACGGGTTAAAACTTAAACAGGGGAAGTTTAGATTGGATATAAGAAGGAAATTCTTTCCTGTTAGGGTGGTGAGGCATTGGAATAGGTTGCCCAGGGAGGTTGTGAATGCTCCATCCCTGCCAGTGTTCGAGGCCTTGGGTGACATGGTTTAGTGTGAGGTGTCCCTGCCCATGGCAGGGGGGTTGGAACTAGATGATCTTAAGGTCCTTTCCAACCCTAATGATTCTATGATTGCAGGTCAATCTTGGCGGGGGGGGGGGGGGGAAATGTAGGTAGCTAATAATAATAGCTAATGGTACAATTTCCACAAGCTTGAGGCAGGAAGTTAATGCTTTTGAGATGAGAATTAATGGAAGAGGTTGTCTGGCTCTTCTGGTTTTGTTTGTAAGGGTTTTTGTTTGTTTAAGAGAGAGGTTAAGGTTTAATTCAAAGCTAAGAGACAAAAGAAGAGGAAGATGAAAGAAGGAAAGGCAGGTGGTAAGAAGATAGCAAAAGTATAATTTATATATAGTATAAATAGGCTCATTTTTTAACCAGCAGAATCCACTATATAAAGAATGGTTCAGCAATTTAAGCACTCAGAACATGGAGGAACTGAGTGCTGGACATTTCTCAGAAGGATTCAAATCCACAACTCACTTACCTGAAGGGCATGTTCCAACTGCCCTACAGAACCAGGTGCTTCCCCATTCCTCCATTACTGTCTGAAGTGGGCTATCAGGAAAGCAGGATTGCAAGAATCATGCTAGAAGGATAAGCAGCAAGCAAAAGCCCAGCTATGAGTTGCACACTGAGAAGAGGTAAATTTGGGCTCCACACTCTGTTCCTAGGATGTTTTTCACATTTTACAACAAGGACTTTGAAGTAAATGGAACAGTGTCAGCGATTAAGGGAGTGAGAAAGATAAGTATTTTTAAAAGTAACCCAGGAAATAGGAAAGAGACACTAAGTTACTCTCTCTTCCCATCTTAACTTCTAAAACGGACTTATGCTGCTTCTCACTTGCCTCCATTCCAACTACATCCCATTTAAGGCACCTTTCTAGGCTCCACCCAGAGACTTGAAATGATGGCACTAGTTGCCATCAGTTAAGACATCTGTCAAGCAGGGTGAGTGGAAGGAGTGTGTCCCTTCTAGAATGCCAGGAGATATGTGAAGGTTACCAGGTCAGCAATTTCTCAGATATTTATGGATTAAAAACTGAGCCCTGGCCAAGTGAAGGGAGGCAATGGAGTGTCAAGGACAAGTACGCCTTGTAAACTTGCTCTCCTCCTTTTGTCTCAGATAAAATTAGTTTAGGGTGAATCTATATAATAGAACTGTGGTAATTTAGCATTCCAAGAAATGAAAATGGGAGTGACAAAATGTGATCTCAGAAAAGTTTAGACAATGACGGTTAAAACTAATGATCGAGAGAAATCATGACGGGAAAGAAAAGAGACATCTAACTATGCAGATGCGGTCAAGAACTAGTAGGATAAAGACACCAGAGGAAAGATCAGACAGTCTGAGGATCTACCTGTAAGCTGAGAAGCAGTAGTAATGGGAATCATGAACAAGAATAAGGAGTTTTAACCTGGAGAACTTGTGACAAGCCAACTGAGAAGGAAAGGGGAAGGCATATAAAGGAATAGAAAGAACTCAGACTGGAACTAGCAGAGAAACCAAACTAGAATAAGAACCCCTAGAAACAGAGACTGAGACCACGTAGGTGAAGATTAATAAAATTAGTTTTCCATTAATGAAATAGGAATGGGAAGGTGGTAGAAGGAAAGGGTAAGAATAAGGAAGGAACAGGCTTAGAATGATATCAAGCAGATAAATCTCTGTGCAGCAGGTTCAGCACCCTTCACCTCCAGAACCTGTTATAGAATTTACTATGCCAAAGTCTGGTATCAGATGAAACTGTAAAGTGATCTCATTCTCCATGTCTCCTCATCCTCTTAAACTAGTGTTTCTAGACACTGTCTAGAGGAAGGCCACCTGCTACCACTATCAACACAGTTACTCTGTTAGCTAAGAGGAAACATATTTCTGCAATTGCTCTGAAGATTCTGCCCTACTAACTTATTTTTCATACATTGATCTAATGTCCCAAAAGTCAATATATTTTCATAATTCAAAAGCTAAAGAAATTACATGCAGACTCACTCCTCCCTGCCCCAAATCCTGCATGAGGGGGAGTATCAATATTAGATAACCAAGCTTACAGAAGCATAGAAATGCCTGTGCAACTTTATCTCAGCCCTCATGTACTACGGAATACCTAATGACAGTCATCAATATTTTAGTTTTAGTAATTCTATCTTTAATATTTATTCTTCTAGATATTTCTTCCCTCAATAATCATACTGCATTGCATAGGTTTCATTGCACAGCTCTTCGTCTAAGTGAGAATTATGGAATAGGAAAGGGAATTGATCAAAGAAAAGGTCCAGATTCTGGCACTTGAACAGTGCTTTGTGGAACAGCAATCTCTACCAATCCCTACCAGCCATCTTCTTGTGCAATACCAGCTTTCTGGAGAGGGCCATCAATTTGGGGTACCACCTTGCCACACTGAACAGGTAACAAACCAAAACCGGACACTGAACCCAAAAGTCTGGCTTTATATGGACTATGACTCAGCTGAGATTTTGAATAAAAACATTATGAAAAATAATAAAAACCTCTTTTTTCCACACTCATCTGTAGAACATAACTAGACTCCATCCTGAAACAACACACACACTTGCCCTAAAACCTTGTCTACTTCTGGTGACCCCTATAAAGCAGATTACTCATGATGTTTTAGGATATGGAAAGACATGCGGCCATGAACTTGCTTGTGAGAAAGAGTTGCCAACAGCCCCTAAAGGTATTTGAATGTTAGGTTTAAGGCTGTCTGTACAGAAATCAGGCTTGTAATAACCAGTTCTCCCTAACTGACAGGCTGCAAACAAACCTCTTCTGAATAGCTTGAGCATAGACATGGCTTCATTCCCTGGAACCAGTCACAGTCAAACAGCTAGAGGACAGATGCCAGACACTGGAAGAAAATTGCAGGCAACAGAGTATGCACATAAAGCAAGTATTTATGGCATAGCTAGAATACTACAACAGCGCTGTCTGTTGTATTTTCTGTACAAGTGCCATAAGCACAATTCTTCAGGAAAAAAAAACAAACCTAATTAGAAGATAGCTCATTACTAGCAAGACACCTTGCTCATTATACTTAAAATATTTATAAGTGCAAAGATAAAACAGTGAAATAAGAAACGTTTACCTTCTTGTCTTTCTTTTATCAGTTCATTCTGTAGATGATTATGTTGTGATGATGTCAAATCCATGCTATGCCACAAAACCTGGGACAGAGAAACACAAGCCTGACTGAATAAAATGACTATTTCTTCTTTCCCACATAACATTTCACAAATATATATGTTTTACACATATTGTGCTATAATTTACTTCTATTTGCGATATTGACACATAGACAGATAAACATCAATATTCAAAGCATGAAAGAACCAGAAGCAGCAAATTAGTTGAACTGCTATACTCTGAAAGGGGGGGAAGTGAGTAGATTTAAAATAAATAAATAAAAGAGCTTTGATAAACTTTAGAAACTTTTATGAAATCTTAGAAAAAATTAAAATCAGGGTCAGTAGTTTTAGAAACATTTAAAAGGAAATGTAGTAACAAATATGTGAAACAGAAGAAAAATTGCACCAAAAAGATCTTGTCTTGCTTGAAAAAATTGGCTTGGAAGGGGAGGAAACAACCTGTTAGTAAAGTGGCATATGAGAGTAAGTAGGAAGCAGGATCTATAGACAACATGCAGAACAGAATGCATGTGCCTATATAAACAAACACAGAACATGCAGACTTGGGGGGGGGGGGGGGCAAAAGGAAAAGTATGCCAGAGGACAATACAATTTTCAGCTGCCTGCAGAAAGGCAGACAGACAACCAGCAGTGACAACCAGCAGCTTCCAGTTCTTGATATCTTGATATTTTACAATTAGGGAAACACTGAGTTCATGGGGGGAGAGGAGGAGAATGGAAGAAAAACTAAAAAGGAAAATAAATCAAGAAATCAATATTTGATAATTTTTAAAGCTCTTGCACTGTTTACATGGAAATTTGACTGATATTTTGCAGGAATGGTCACTAGATAAGTCAATGAGTGAATGAATACAAGCAAAGTACAAACATATGCAGAATATAGAGAAAACTTCCCCACAGTGCAGTCTTAGACAGGTTTTCCTCTCAAAACTTCAGACAAAAGAGGACAGTATAGAACAGTCCTGTCTTGTTAGGAGGACGCACTGTATTCTCTTGATTTCACCCTACAAGAGACACATAGGTTTCACATTTCAACTTTATTGCCACAGTGCCAGCAGCCATTAACCTATCTGAAGGTGAAAAATAACTTAGGGGGCTTCTACACAATACCATAACAGAAAAATACTGTTATATTTATATCCATCTATGAATTAGGCAATCATAACATCATTACATGGGAAACAGAAAAGGGATTCAATGTTTTTGTATGCATGTTCAGAATAACATGCAGCATTAGAAACTACTGGAACATTAAGTAGTAAATGTTACACACATCCATCAGCTTGTCATCTGCCTCAGAAATATAAGAAGACACGTTTTCCCTCCACTGGGGATAAAAATAACAGTTATTTATATATATTTATATAATATATAATTTATATCAGTCCCTTTGCATTCTGAAGGACAAGCAACATTGCAGCATAAAGCCACCCTAAAATATTACATTTTGTGGTCCTCTTATTTTTTTTCCTTCTAAAAATATCCTTTAAGGAACACTGAACTACACAAAAACCTGTCTGACTTTAACATACAAATTCTAATACAAAAACTAAACAGTTGCTGAGTAACACTGTTTAAAGGCAAGGATACAAAGCCATTTAGAGTCAAAGAAACAGACAGATGAAGTAACCACAGGCAACTGCTGGGTTTCAGTCAACATTACCTGCTTCTCTCGCAGCTTTACAAAGACAGTAGGACAACAGAGAAGCTCTTAATTGCTGTGCTGCTTTCCCCGCAGCCACGGCAGGAGTGTGCTCTGAAGCGCATGTCACACATTGCCAACATACCCACAGCAGAAGCAATAATAAAACCCGTCAGCTGCGGCACGATCACAAAGTGGGCACCACACACCGTGTCCCTTACGTAAGGGAGCAGATTTTGTAACAGCAGCAGGCACCCGGTCAAGGGAGCACCTACCAACAAAGGAACCAACTCCAGAGTAGTTTTTACAAATCTAAGGTAGCAGCATGATAAGGTAGCAACCACTCACTGCCAATGCAAAAGTAACTGAAGAGCAAAAGGGTCATTCTTCAGATTCAAAGGGCCCATGGCAGGAAGGCTGGAACTGGATGATCTTCCAGCCCAAACCATTCTGTGATTCCAAGCACAGAGGGCAATTTGCAAAGGGGCAAGGGTGCATTTGGGGCAGGGATATATAAATTTTTGCTCGCATTGGAACACAGAACTGTAACAAGGTACAACCCCCTCCCCCCCAAAAGTCCTAGCACACTTCACCTCCTAAGGCAACTGTTAATGTGCATAAATACACACATAATACTCGTCCTTAGCACAGACAAGATGTACAGTCACTCAACAGGTCACAAACCATTCCTGCCACAGGAAAATACTGGTATCTTTAAGACTTCTCTTAATTGGGCTGTAATGAATTCAGGACAGAGCTGTTAGCAAAGTTAGACTTCAACCTCAATTGAGGTTTCTAAGTGCCACTGAAAAATAATAAACAGTTGTACAAAAATACTTCAGAAGACTAAAGGTCTCTATGCTTTATCACAGCTGGCAGAAGAAATTGGTAATATCTCCTCTCCACTTAGAAACCACCAAACAAATCACCAAGACCTGACCTACACTGTTGAAGCAAAATTCAGTTATATGAGTGACTTACAAGACTACTGTAAACTGCTCAGACTCAGAATTTGCTTAAAATATGGTAATATTTTCCAAAAGTAATATCAAAATTTCTGCCCAGTATGCACTGTACATTAAGTATTAGACTCTCTGCTACTATAAAGGCCAAATTCTAGACAGCTCAGTTCAGTTCTTCATCCTTCAGTTTCCTTCATCATTAAGTTTCCTATGAAACTTAATTGTACGGACCTGGACTTTCAAACAATGAAACAATGAGAAATGAAGTCAGAAGGTCAAATGAGAAGATGAAAAACAGCAAGGACTAAAAGGTAATGTAAGAACACAGGTATGACTAGCAACTTACGTGCTTTTCCACCTTGACTCACAGGAGCTATAAAAAAAATTCTACAATCACTGAGGAAGAGAGGTGGGTAGGTGGGGAAGTCTGAGCCTAACACACATTGTTTCTCTTACAAACTAATTTGACATGAGTTCTACAACCAGTGGATACCTCTTAATGTCACTTTTGCAAATAGATTGTGTCTTTGGACATGGTCACGTAACTCCAAAACTAGAAACTTGACATTTACTTCAGAACATAAATAATCACTGTACATCAGATTACAGACAGACAAATACATAACAAATAGAGATAATTTATTATTTTATCAAAAATTCATCACAATATTTATAAAGCTTAAGTCACAAAACCCATACATAGCCTCTCTTTTTCAAGACTTCTTTTCTTTAAGACGTTTTCTTTTTTATTCTTCTCTTACTCTGCGATTTCTTTTTTTTTCCCTCAAACACAGGTTTGGCAGTCACCAAGATTATTTTTCCCAATTCTTCATCCTCACCACTTGAACTACTGCACCTCTTTTTCTCTTTAGAGTCTGCTGACTCCATTGCAGAGACCTTTTTCCTCCTTTTGCTCCTGCCCAAATCTCTGCTTTCTGATTCCTCTATTGAGGAGTCACTAGAAGTTTCTGAAAGATGCAAATTCCCTATAAAACCACCTCCATAGACATGTTCTTTTGTGGAATCTGAAAGCTTTCTTCTCTTTCCATTTTGGACTTCGGTTGCCATAACTTGATGATCTGTACAGCCTGCAGTATCTTCCCCTTTCCTTTCTTCATGCGCTTTAAGTTCAATCTCCTGAACATCATCAGCTGCTTCTTTTTCCTTCCTCTTCAGGCAAGTCACAGCTCTGCGCAGTCTCTGACTTTTAATAGCTATTTTTTCCTGCTGTTCTAGCCTGAAGAATGAATCAATTCGAAGCTGAGTCTGTCAAAAATAAAACAGAGAAACACCTTTGGAGGTTTTTGTGATAGGAATTCAGTTAACTATATTATAATGCATACTAAGACAAAGGACTAACAAGATTAATACAAATAGATGTGAACAATAAGACACAATATTACAGACATACCTATACTTTATTATAAGTTCTGCAACAAGAACCTTTACAGAAACTAAATAGCAAACGCTGGTGAAATTTCATAAACATTGTCCTTGATGATTAGATATGTTGCTATTTTCAACCTTAATACAGAGAATCTCTGTAGTGCTCTTAAGTATGTCCTTACCAACACATCGTTAGCTTCAAGCTGTTAGAACTACAGAATGCATATTAAGCAAATGTTACAAGTGCACTTTACATTTCATATGCTAGTGCAACAAAAAGCACTTATCTGACTCAAGTTCATTGTAACATATGTTGCTACAGTGTAAAGATTTAAGAGCAGAACTAGAAGGGCTCATACACAAAGGGTCTGTGTGACTCAATCACAGCTAGGCTTGCTACATAAACTAAGATAGCTCTCTATATTCTCTCTAAAATTGTATAAAAGAACCAATGCTTCCAAAGGTTGCTCCAGTCAACCTGAAAGTAAATGGCTTTAATTATGGGGTTTGGTACCTTTCACTCCTTTGAGCAACAGAGAAAACCTAGAAGACTAGTTTAGACTAAGGATCCATCTTGCTCATGGCGAAAGGAGAAAAGAATCCGACCTTCGGCGATCAGTTTTAGCACTGACTTTCACAGTACAGCAGCATGCACCACTATTCACTTTTAAGTTTTATTAAAGTTAACAGAACATTAATAATATTACTCTGATTACCATATAAATGTTGCTCAGCAGTTCAGTCTGCACCCCTCCTCAAAGAATGGGGATGATACCAAATGGTCAGTCTCCATTCACGAAAATCTTAAAGGTATTTTTATAAATCATTTTTAGAGACAGCATATTGTCTTTTAAAAGTACCAGAGGTGCTTGAAGTACTTGAGATTTCAGCTACATCCAGAACAAACAGCAACATCAAGCTGAATAGGTGCTTGATAAGTAACAAAATTTGAAAACAGCAATTGAAATTACATAGAGTTCCTTAAAGGACACCAAAATCATATGGAAATGAAGTCCAGAGAAGTAAGTTTAATAAATTTTAAATATAATATGAATATTTAAAAAAAAAATGGCCAAACCCCAGTTTCTGAGAAATTTATTTTAGATTAAAACCTTGCTGTTCATTTTAAAACAGCTCTTACACTCTTCTAGTTACCCTTAAACTACACACAGTTCTATGTTTTACCTGCTGCAAGTTCAGCTGTTTCATCACAGGCAAAAGGATTTCATCTGTCTTCACCCTGGTCCAGCCAAAGCGATTCTGACAGAACGTGCAAAAAGTTAAGGACCTTTGCACAGTGGCTGTTACTAGTATTGTACAAACATAAAATAAAGATCTCTCAAATAAAAATTGTCTAGAAGAAAGCTACTCTACTTCAAAGCTTTTTTTACTAAGAAACCAGAGAAAATACTCTTAAGTTACTACAGCTGACTTACGCAGATGCTTCCAGTATTACATTACATATCCTAATCATGCTGCTACATGTCTATTAGTTACAGATTTTTGTTCTCTAATATCAACATTTCCAAGAGTGTGTCTCAATGAGGACAGAACTCATTTTGGCTATACAGCATTGTCATATGACAAAGCAAGTCTTATTTTTACACTTGCACACACTGGAAGTTTCATTTGCTGTTCAAAATACCATTAGCTCTGCATGCATTGTCATGTACTTTTTAACAATTTTCTGCAGCTCAAGCTGCAATGGATGCAAGAAATACACTGCAAGAAATGCAGTAAGTAATGCAGCCTAAGTCACCATTTCTGCTGACTACACTTTGAAACATATTTGCGAAAGATGGCAGAGTAGCACACTCCTGACAGCTATGAGATTCTCTTTACATGCAATGTGAAACAGCTTACTCTCTTAGGAGAGCAGAGCCACCTCGCGTGACACACATGCATGGCTGCATGCCCTTCAGTTCCAGAGCTGGTACCATTGTAGGATATCACATGCATATGGAGCTAAGGGCCCCTCACACCAATGAGACGTTAAAAACTGGACACACCGTTACTGACTCACAAGCCTTATGAACTTTAATCTGAGCACTCTTCGCTGACAAATCCTGCTATACAGTAAAAGGATATTCTCTGATTTGTTCTACATCAGGCTTCCCCCAGATGAACGAACCCCTTGTCTCATCCACCATAGGATTCAGGTATGCTTCTGCCACTGCTGGATTTGGGAAACCTGAGGAAAGCTGCAGGTCCCGCAACTTCTTCTTGACTTTGGTGTCACGTGGATTAGGTCTCAATTTCTTATTCTTCTGAGCCTCATTCCACCACTCACTGAAAAACAGAGGAAAGTATTCCATAAGGTACAATTTGGAATATCAAGAGCCACCATGCTAATTTCAATAGCCCTAGTCTCCCTGCTTCAGTTACTACATAAAGTGAGTAGAAAATTCCCCAATGGCAAAACGGACATATAACCTGAAAGCAGAAAAGACAGAACATAAACAGTAAACGCAGCTGTTGTAAGCCACAGTAGCAAACATCATCTGGATTCCTCATGAACTGCTAAACAGAAGGCCCTAAATTTAGCCACACACAGGAAGGATGTTCCACATACAATGATAATTTTAAAAGGTTTTTTTTGGTATGCAAAAGAAGAAAATAAAAACTAAAAGTATTTCTAATCATTCTTGCTATTGCCAATACAACTGGCTTAGGCCCTCTACAAATCTTGCTCTTCCCCACAGCCTACCTGTCTGTCTCCTTCCAGGTCATCCATTCCTCACTCATCAAGTCTCTTTTCTCTACGAGCAAGCTACAGCACCTTCTCACAAACACAGGGAGAATATACCTCCACTCCACTATGGGTCCAACTCCGCAATGAATTCAGAGGCAGTCGCACAGTTCTACAGCTGTTCTATTGTCTTCTTTAGTCTCACTGTAATAGCTGTATCAGTATGTCCCCTTATTTACCTGCCATTTCAAATAGTGACATAATGGAGTCACATATTTTACAGTTAACTTAGTCTCCTTAATGACGGTTGTATACTTAAGCAGCATAAAAGTATATTCACTAATATTATAGAAAGACAAAAAAGCAAAATATGATGAAGCATACGCAAATCTCAAGAGAGGTTCCAAACCATGCCCAGGAAATTCATTTAAAATCTCCATCGCTGTTACAAAGCCAACATTTGGGATACCCTCAGTGTAGTCACTTCCAAGCAAGTATGCCAAATTAATCAGCTTGCTTCGATCCAACCCTGTAACAGAAAGTGCATAAACCAATTAAAACCAGTGGATCCAGCATACATTCCCTTACAAAATTAAAAAATATGTTATCTGAAAGGCAAAACCCGAAAGGAACTCGAAGATATTAACTCTGTAAAAGTACATTTAATTCAATGTCAGAATTTGCTAAATGGTATTCTCGAGCACCTTAGCTGAAGCACAGGTAGTTGTGCTAACTCAACAAATACATCTTTGCCAAAATTAAATGTTACAATGTAGAGACCATCCGGAAACATTAAGAGCTAAGAGATACTATTTTACGTATGTTTCTCTAGTTTCTCTCCTGTTCCCATCTAATGCTGACCTGCAAACAGTAACACCTGCATCTGAAACAAAAAAAGCATTCAATTTGAATTCTAGCCCGTAATATCAATGCCTCTATTTCTTAAAAGTGTTCCCAAACTGGAAGCCTTTGCTAGTGCAGTTATTAAGTAGACAAAAAGAGCCCATGAAATAGCCAGAAAGGAGGAATAACTCAGCTGACCACTTGTACTTAGTATGCTGCAAGATCTGAGGCAATCAGGCTGATTTTCAGTGACTAGCTTCAGGAGTTTA